GAAAACCTACCCCGACAAGAACAGGTTCAGCGACACAGGCAACTGTTTGACCCCTACCCTGGTGAAAGCCGGCAAAGCTTTCAATCCAATGCAGGGGGAGGTATGGGATGAAGAGTACGATACCCCGCGGTAATTGTTTCTCTTGTGGGCAACCCGGACACTTCGCGAAGCATTGCCCCCAGAAAAGTTCGGATCCTCGTGCCATTCTGCCAGATGGCACAGCGCAACCTTCCGACGACACGAAAAAAAAACGAATTAGGGCCTTAGGAACGAAAAAGTATTGCGAAGGAGGGTAGGAACATTCTAGAATTTTTATTTTTAAAATTTCGATTGAAGGGTGGATATTTCTCAGAAATACAAAAAAGACGGCCATTTTGACGAAAAACGACGAAAAAACAGAACAACGACAAATATTGTGAAAAACGGTCGCACAAGAGACGAAAAACACGAAGCCTCTTATCGTGGCAACAGCACACGATAAGACTCTTAGCAGCGGAAATTAGTGGAGAAGGAAGCTTCAGTGGGGAAGGAAAATTCCACGGAACCCTCTCGTGCCACAAATTGGAAGGGATAAGAGCGTTATCTCAGGAAGATTACGGGAGCGGAGGCTTGGTCCCCCAGAGACTGTTTTATGTGAAGGGACTATATAAAACTGACTTTGCAGCTACTTGGATGTCGTAGAATCCTGAATTAACACCGGTATAATTTGATATTTTAGAATATGAGTAGCTAGAAAGAGGAAAGGGTCAATCCATCTCCAATGGATTTAATATAGAACTGTCACACAAAAACATGTTAAAATAGGTTGTTCGAGCTGTGTTTTTAATGACAATCACGTAGTCTGAGGATCCGAGACTCAGCTATGTGGTTGTGTTCGCATGTAAACGAAAGCTGATCAAAAGTCGTTTGACTGATGGCCTAAAAATATTAACTTTTTACTTAGCCCTAAACAGACCAGAAAATCAACTGGCAAGGTCGAGACGGTGAAAAACGAGTAGGATTAAGGTAATTGACGCCTGCCAGTCGTTAATAGGTACTTTTTCTACGCTCCGTCGCTGTGTAGTATTTGGGCGAATGTTACACCTTTAAATTACCAAGGGCCGGGACAGTAGAGGCATTCCAAGAAGGGTTTGTCCCGGCCGAATGTAAGAGACAACAACAGATAAATCGGGGTCCCCCGAACAGTGACGTTCCCCTGCGAGACCTTAAACCCCAGAAGCCTCATCCTACCGTGAGATGGAACGATGGGCGAATGTTACATAGACGTTTTCATGGCGCTCCTGGGTGGGCCTGTCAAAGGCATAAGACCATCATGATCAGCAAGCGTTTCAGCGACGAACCCTCCGCTCCGGGCGCATGCCCGAGTTAGAGGCCTTAATGACTGTTATTGTACAAGGGGGAAGGTGCGTACCCTCCGTCCAGTACTATTTAGCTTTTTAACTTAGTTAACACCGAAAATTCCGGGGGCCGGAGGGTTAGGTGGGAAGTCATGAGCCCGCTTGTCCCGAGGTGCCAGGACGAAAAACAATTAAAGAGAAAGCGTAACACCAAACAAAAATAGTGTATAACCAACAAAAAGCCAAAAACAAATTTATTTGAAAACAAAAAAGTACAAAAAACAGTAAAAAATCCAAAAAAGACCAAAAACAGTAAAAAACGTAAAGTGACAGTTTATATGTTATTTCCGGACGAGATGTGATCTGACCTTCCTATTTGTTGTTGTTTCAGATTGATTTATATCGTTTCTGATAGAAAGATTGTGTGTTTTGGTGAAGGGTTGGATGCCCTCCCTTGAGTGTAACTTGAGTATTTAAGCACGTTAATGGTGATTTTGCCGGTGACCGGATGGTAGAGTGGCAAGCTGACCGACGTGTTCCACACTCAACAAGGACATAGGGACAACATCCACAACGACTGTTGGGTATCGTTGAAGCAATTTTAGTATCGTTCGGGTACTATTTCATTAAAACTTAAGTGGCGGGGGGCACGATTGGCACGGTCTGATTGTACCCTCCATCGATTACAAATTTCCGAGTTAAGGGTCTTAATTCGGGTATTTTGGTGCAAAGGAGGGTATAGTACTATTCATTAACGACTAATAGGTTATTATCTTTATTACATATTACTTATCTTCTAATTAGACCCAAGAAACACCCAAATTTTGTCGAAAATTATCCATTTTCGACCAAACTGTAGACCCCCAAATTTTTGGATATCCGAGCTTTTCCGAACAGCAAAAAGCTTTTATATAGGGAGTCGCTACGTAGTTTGATCCCCCTAACTAGAGAAATCGCGTGAGAAAAAACTCAGTAGAAGTTGGAAAAATTTCGATCAAAATTTTGATAATTTTCTGAATTTTGTCAATCTGTTTTGGGGATCGAGTTTTTGAGTTTTTAGAGTTAGAGCAATAAAATTTTTTGTATTAGGAGCGTGCTAGCATAATGTGCTCGGCTGCCAGAAAAATTCTTGAGTAACCCTCCGATTAGCTCCGTAGATAGAGCTAACGACTTAAGGATTGGAAAAGGAAGGAATCGGAGGGTACAAATTTGATAGTTATTGGCCAAATTTTTGTCTCCAAACCAATTTTGGTCCGGTTTTTTGCTTAATTCCAGGCCGTGGGGGGGGGGACCAGTGTAAAAGCTTTGGTGGATACTGGAGCCACGATCAACCTCATCCGCAGTGTAACAGACCGCAGATTGACGTCATGTGGCCGTAGATGGTTGGACTACAATGAAGTTGAAACTCGGGTCAATCGATGACGACATAGAAGCCTTGGTAGTCCCAGAATTAAAATCCGAGAAAATTATAGGATTGCGATCCCTGAAGCAATTCCAGTGCTCTTTGGACTTTCATTGCGACAACTTGTGGACCGGACCCCAAGAAGGGTCGATTGTCCCTTTGCATTACGAACCCTTGACAATCTCCTCGTCCCAACCGGAGGCGACCCAGGGTGTGGATGACCCACAAGGACTTCTATCATCCCCAGAGCCACCCGATACAAACTCAGCAGCTACCGGGGCGTCTGGCAACCCAGCCAAACCCCGACAGACTCAGAGGAGAGCGGTCACGAATACGATGAAGACCACGACGTTTGTGCGACTAGCGAGATTGGGTCGATTGATCTACAAGTGCAAGCGAGGCGTCACTTGGACGAGGTCATCGAGAAGATTTTGGAGTTAGCGGCACCGGGAGTGACAGGGACCGAGAAAGACAGGCTTGCTGACCTTGTCCGATTGTACCGGGACGTGTTTGCTCTAACCGATGCCGAGTTAGGACGAACTAAATTTAGTGGCACATCGGATCGATACGGGGGACACGGGCCCAATAAAGATACCTCCTCATCGGACTTCTCCAATGCCGGTCATCAGAGACGAAGTTAAGAGCATACTGGAGAAAGGGGTGATCCGACCTTCCAAAAGCCCCTATAGTGCCCCAATTGTCTTACAGACAAAGAAGGACCGGAGTTGGTGGTTCTTCGTGGACTATCGGAAGTTGAATGATGCAACGGTCAAGGACGCTTTCCCGATTCCGAAAATCCATCAAACGTTCGATGCACTCAATGGACAGAAATGGACTTGGCAAGCGGGTATTGACAAGTGCCCGTAGCCGAGGAGGACCGACACAAGACTGCCTTCATGGCCCCAGATGGAGGATTCTACGAGTATGTAAAGATGCCCTTCGGGTTGTCCACCGCCCCTGGGACGTTCCAGCGACTCATGAACGAGCTGTTCCGGGAGCATTTGTGGAAGTGGGCTCTAGTGTTTCTTGACGATGTCTTGGTCTACAGTAAATGTGAAGAGGACCACTTCTCTCACCTGAAGGCTACATTCCAGTAACTTAGGGAGGCAAACTTGAAGCTCAAACCGAAGAAGTGCAGGCTGGTTCAGAGGGAGGTCACTTACCTGAGCCACATAATCGGAAACGAAGGTATCCAAGTGGACCCCAAGAAAGTGGAACTGGTTGAGATACATTACCCACCACGGTTAAAGGGATCAGATCTTTCCTCGGCTTCTGCAACTACTACCGTCGGTTTGTGAAGGACTTCGCGGGGATTGCAAGCCCATTGTCCGCTTTGAAGAAAAAGAAGGTGCCTTTCATTTGGACCGACGAATGTCAGACAGCCTTCGAGAGACTGTGGAAGGAGCTCATCACGGCTCCAGTACTGGAGTTTCCCGACTACACGGGGACCTTTATATTGGATACGGATGCGAGCAATACCAGTTTAGGGAGGATGTCATCAACGGTCTATGCCAGCAGGGTGATGTCCAAAACGGAGACGAACTACTCTACGACGAAACGAGAAGCATTAGCCGTCGTGCAGGCGGTGAAGTGGTTCAAGTCCTATATCTGGGGCGTGAAGTTTGTCCTGCGGACTGACCACTCCAGTCTCCAATGACCTTCAAACAGAAAGAGACCGATGGGATGACATTTCGAATGCAGCAGCAGCTTCAGGAGTTTGACTTCAATGTGGTCCATAGAGCCGGGGTAAAACACGGAAATGCGGATGGGCTCTCCAGAATGCTAGAAGAGGGGCCGACTGGATGCCAGGGGAGAAGGAGAAAGCATTCGGATCCTGCCCATAGCCCATTTCCCTCGAGGAGGCCTTACAGGAAGCAAGTCAACACCGAGTGGAGACTGTCGCAATGGTCAGTGATAAAACCGACGACAGAAGGGAAGTGGGGCCTAGAGATGTAAAGTCCGCCTACTTCCACAATTTAATCGATCGATGGAAAAAACTGTCTTTGTTCGGCAAAGATGAAGTTGACCGGGGCTGGGCCGCATCGGAGGGCGAGGTCCCGAAGCAGTTTTGGCGTCCCCCAGATGCTATGGGGGAGGAGTCGGATAACTGGACTGTGCCGCAGCAGGTCTACAGGCACCTCGTGGATAGATGGAAACGCCAGAAGACTGCCAGACTGAAGGAGGCCAACCGGTAGAGTCTCTACTACACTGCATACAAGGACGTCGAGTTCTGGCTCAGCGAGGTGGAGGGTCAGCTGAAGATGAAGGAGAAGAGCAATGACCTGAGTACAGTGCAGAACCAGAGGAAGAAGCTTCAGCTGCTGGAGGACGATGTGGCCGCACACGCAGACAGACTGGTCCAGCTGAACGAACTGGCCGAGAAGTGCATGGCGTCTTCCCAATTTGACCCCGTAGAAATTGAGCAGAAGAGGTCAAACATTAACGACCGATTCGAACTGGTGTCTGACATGACTAAGGACAGAAGGAAGCAGTTGGATGATGTGTTCAAGTACCACCAGCTGTTGAGGGACATCTCGGAGGAGGAGACCTGGATGAGGGAGAAGAAGATCTTGGTCCACACTCAGGACTACGGAAAGGACCTCACAGGTGTGCATAATCTGACGAAGAAGCACAAGCGTATAGAAAATGAGATCCAGAGCCACGAGAAAAGGATAGAGGCGGTGAGGCCGATTGCGGAAGAAATTATGAAGAAGCACACCACTGATGGGACGACGCATCAGCTATGTGCGAGGCAAGTGGAGAGGTGTTTCGGGACAAGGGCCCCGAATTGGGACGAGTGCGCTGATGGCCACTACGCTGTGAGATGTCGCGGATGATGCGAGCGAGAGGAGAGAGGGCCGGGTCGACAGGTCGTGAGTTGAAACTTTATTTATTTGGACTGTAACTATATAACCATTGTATGGGGTGCTTTCTTGTAATCAGGTGTAACTCCACCTCTCGGAGATTTAACTGGGCATGATAGAAATACGAGAGGTTGGGTTGTGCCAAGCGGAGTAAATTCATAAAAGTCAAGTCCCCAGTCAGGTATCCATCTGACCTTTTCTAGTGCTACTTACCAGGACGTGTGTAAACCATATACTATGGGGACTGACTGAGTAATCTGCGATAGGATTTGGGACTACTGCCTCGTAATTTGGAACGTGGAACTATGGATATGTTGTTTTTCTACGAGCAGTAGTGAACGGGTATTTACGTGGTAGCTATAGGTTTAGTGGTAGTTGGTGTGGGGTTTTGGTATGATTGATTTTTCCCCCTTATTGAGGACAATAAGTGAATAGGAGAGAAGGATGTAAGATTGGTAATTCATGATGAAAATGGTTGATATTTGCGAATTTTGATTTTAACGTAAACCGACTGTATGAACTTGTAGCAATGAAATTCAGTGATAGATAAGCTTAGTTTGAGAGCAAACAATCGTAATCGGTCTTTGCACCTTGAATTTGACCTCTAAGAATTGGAAAAGCGCTAAAAATCTGGAAACCCCTCCCCCCCAGATTGGGAACCACTGGTCCGATCTATATGAAAATTTGTGGGTGACTAATAAAGATGTTTTTAGCCGGGTATGCAAATTTCCAGACCACTGGGATTCCTGGGGGCGATTGATAATGATTTCCGAAAATGCAATTAGCACTTTTTGTAAACCGGTAACTAATGGTCAGAATGACTTCATATTGCAATATGTTGCAGCCCTAGGCGAGGGAAGTTCACCATTGGGATTTTGAACGCATCCGGTTATTACTTCCGGTTTTACGCCCTATGTAAGCAAAACCCACTTTTTGTTATTTCTCAACCCCTGATAAAGCTAGGAGGCTGAAACTTGGGGGGATGGTAGGTTGGAGTAAGACCTATAATGTATTAATGTTTGGACCCAATCCGGGGGCTACGTCGGAAGCTATTAGCACTCGAAAAATGAATAAGGCTATTAACACCTGATAGTGATAATTGACTTGTGGTTTTAATGCACCAATGTGAAGGGGGCCCAACCCAGTAGGGGGACATCTAGTGACCCAATCCTCTCCGGAACTTCCTATGGGTTAAAAATGGCAATTTTAGGGAAAAAATAAATTGACCCAATATTTTCAAAAAAAGGGAGGGGATGGTCCGATATGAATGAAACTTAGTGAGAATGATCTCCCATCGAAAATAAGACGTTTGGACGCGTTTGAACTCATTTGACCTCGGATGACCTATAAGAGGTCATTTGGCATTTTTGACCCCAAGACCCCGGAACGCCCTGAAAAGCAATAAATTAGCATTGTAAGGACCCGTAAGGGGTACCTACCTACCTGGGGAGGTAAGGGGAGGCCCCTAAATTGAGATTTTTTAGTTTTGACCTTTGTACGCGAGCGAAAGTGATTTTCTGTAATTAGCAAACATTGGGGTCAGCCTAACCCACTCCACTTGGACTTTCGATAAGAACGACAAACAAGTAAAAATACAGCCCCGGACAAAAATTGGGAACATCTATGGGGGGAAATGGGAATTCCGGGATGAAGATTTTATGAACAGCCCTAGCATATTAAAATAAAAAATTCTTGTGGTGTTTTTTTTTGGATCATAACGGACACGGGGAAGGGAATTACCCAGCCCTTGGACTTGGGGGATTAAAATTAAAAATGACCAAAAACGGAAATTTTTCAAGTATCACAGAAGTTAATTTCCCGGTTGTGTGAGAACTACCAAATTCATAGGAAAGGGAAAAAGTTTGGAAGAACTGAAATAAATTCATGCAAGGGGTCATTAGTCAAATACGATTGGGAGCTGATTTTGTAGTTGAACCCAATGTTTGCTCAGTATGTCCTGAGTAACTAAGTGCCACCCCGATGTTTAATTAAAGCTGACCTAATGGTTGATTCAGCTGATAAGTCCTGAGTGGCAGCTAGTTAAGTGAATGTTAGTAGGGATAGGGAACGGTACGCCTCTGACCGAACCGAAAGTAAATAAAGATAACGATACGCGATTAAGGCACAACCACCGAACTGCAGAACAAGTGTGCTGTGAGAGCGAGCGGTTGGTTCCCAGTTAGTTAGAGAACAAGATTGAGACTTATAGAATTCAGACGGGTCCTGAGAGTGACTCGTGAAATTTTTAAAGTTAGTTCTCGACTCGAGATTTTAGTGAAGCAAGTTGAAGAGTTGTTTAGAAATGTTTGTTAAGTGAACTGCAAGAGGCAGTTTTCTGGAACTTATCGCAGATTAAATTCATTGATACTTAATAATTTGTATTCAGGGCACTTAGCGGCCCTTATACTCAGCAATTTACATATTGATTTCTGAATTCAATTACTATCCAGTTTCTTGCGATTCTTTCCAGGGGAAAGAACAGTCGAGAGCAATTGAGTAAAGGGGACGCAACCCAGTGTAGTACACCGATCGACCACCAAATTCAACCTTTCAACCGAAGGGATTGTCGCCAAATACCGGATCATAGCTCACCCTTTGCTGGTTCTGGTATTTAGGGAAGGGACTCAGCGGACAACATAGAAGGGATATATTGGGTCTAAATAGTCAAATATCCCCAAAACGACCAAAATAAACACAGCTTCATAGCCCAAATCAATCACTACGGTTTACAATATTTCAAAACATTTTGAAAACATAATCAATTCTACCCTTTCTTTATTTCAAAAGTCTACAACTATATACTCTCTTCATCAAAGACCGAGACAAAACACAAGATGTAAAAAATTTACAAACGATTAGTCAGCAAAATGAACCTAAAGAAGACCATTCTCATACTCGAGCATTTCGTTTCAATTGCAAAAAATTTAATGCCCATCACCGACAAATATGCAGGAGTTGTAAGAAAAAGTTTACGCTTCATCTCAAATCCCTCATTTTCAACTGCTAAAAACAACTGAAAACTGCGTATATAAATATCCTAGTAACACCCTATCGCTACCTTCAGGTGAAAATAACGTAATACAATCCTAAACCACTCGCTCATAATTTTATAATGCCAATCCAAACGCCAAAAAAAGTTCCTACGCCCAAGCAAGTTGTTTTCAAAAACCATTGTGATAGTAAAAGCAAAAGCAGCTCTACGTTCTAGCACACCCTTATTTTTGCAACATGAAGATCGGCCCAAAAAGTTACTCTGACTCATTCAAACCAGGATGAAAAAATTGATCCCTTCTCGAAACCCAGACAAAACTTGATAATGGAAAAGAAGATCAACTCCACAATTTTAATTATGATCTGAATCATGAAAAAATAGCTAATACTGACCCAAAAAACACAAATTTAACTTGAAAACAAAGGCCTTAAATTATCATAACCACTTGTCAATGCCGCCAATGACCACCCGGTCCCCATACAAATCATTCTCACCGTCACCACATAAAGACAAGATGACCATAATTTCAAGAATACTCATTATCTCAAACAACCCGCACCGATCGCCCATGGATCATAATCGGTTATATTGTCATAATATGGTCAGTATCTATAAATTTACAAAATAATCGATTATAATCCATTAGAAATGGATTATAAGCCTATTATTTTTTCAGTTTAATCCATTATAATCAATAGCTTCCATGCCAGTATAATGCTTTAAAATAGATTGAAAATTAAAACTATTCATGAAAATTACATTTTTTTTTTCAAAATTATCTCATTTCCTGTTATATGCATTTGCTTCATATTACCTTTCATAAAATCTTACATTTCACATATCCCTAACCTTTATTTTGTCTCTCTTTTTTCAACTCAGTGCAGTTTAACCCCTTGATTTTGCTATTTTTTACGACAACCGCTTTTCGCAGGGGAAGAGGGGGTAAGGTGTGATTATTTAAAGGGAGAATTTGGGGTTTGAATGAGGGAATGGTAGGCGGAGGGGGGGTAAGTTTGGTTAGGGGGGATGGTTCAATGGTAGAAGGGTTGAATGATTGAACCCCCTCCCCCAGTTTACCCATCCCCTTTTTAGTTGGGGGATGGGAAGTAAAAAAATACTTGAGAAAATACCTTAGAAAATGCATTACGGTTGATTAAAACCGTTTTTATTCAGATTCTATACAGACTTTTTACCGCAAAAAATCTATTTTCTAGACTTTATAGTCGATTTTTGTCAACTGTATAAAATGGTTATATTATCCATTTTAGTGTCTAATGAGTATACAATCGACTTTTTTCAAGAAAAAAATCTGTATAAAGACGATTATAAGCAATTGCAAAATTAGTTTTGCCAATGCGGGAAAATCGAAACGAAATTTCTAGTTTTCTGTTAACGAGTTTGATTAATTTCAAGACTCGGGGTAATACTCAGTCATCAATTTTAGTAAGACTCTAAAATTACCAATAAGTAGAGTTTATCGTTGTCAGATCACATCCATAAGAAGAAATTCTAATCCAGAATTTTGAATAATTGATTTTTTACAACAATATTAAGCAGAAAAGCAAATCGTTTAATTTTTAACATATTGTTACTAATAAATTATAACATATTGTTGTGATGTGACGTTTTCGGTGATTATTTCCATTGAAATTGTCAAGTTTTTCGTTCCTCTCATACCTATTTTGACATTTGGGTTAGTAATTTGTGGAAAAGAAAGGTTTCTTCTGAAAGTATGAAGTTTTAAAGAGCCCAATTTTTTCACCGCTTTTTTCTACTAACGAACAATTTTTCCACCGGATAATTCTATTGTAGATTGACATTATTTTCTGATTTCGGCGCTTAAATCTCAGAAGTAGGGGTTCCCGTAAACTCATTTTCCAACTCTGCGGAGGATGTTATCTTTATTAAATGGTTAATCTATTGGATCTGTGTTGCATGCGGTCCCTGCCATTTTTTCTGCTCCTCCAAGTCGTAGCCTTTA